ACTACTATTAGGTCTACTGAATGTTAGAACTATAAAACTATGACTTTGTACTAACTCACAAACTCAGAAAGTAAATGACAAAAGCTGATCTACTCTTAAGACAAGTAGGTTATGAAAGAGGGGAGAATGATAACAAAAATCTTGTTCTCCTTAACAATTCCCTTTTTGTATCCAAGACAATCCAAGAGATCCAACTCAAGTCTAAGAATGTTAATTTTATCACTTGTATATAGTAAGCTCTAAAACACACACAGGACTAAGTTATAGTAAAGTAGTTAGAGAAGTAAGCTAGAGACTAGGAGGAGGATAAGAATAGCCAGGTCTACTAGGAAGGCTAACTGTATGTTCTAAAGGATTAGAAGCTGTAGAAGGATATTGTCTAAGCTTATTACAACAATCTAACAGTAGAATATCTGAGTAAACACAAAATATAGAAACTCATTACTTAAAACTACTAGTAGTTAGGAATACAGAAAGAAATCCTAAAGTACATGAGTAGTTGTAATATGTGCTAGCAGACTAAGGCCTACCAGACAAGAGTTTAGACTCTCTTACATTTGTACTGAATCCTGAATCACTCTTAGGAAAAAGTCTTAGTAGACCTGATTAGTAAACTACTCAAGTCTTAGAGTTACAATACTATCTGTATAATTGTCAACCAGTTCTCTAAGCAGATTCATACAGTCTCAACCTGAACAGAACTCACTTCTAAAAGTATAACATGTATCTATCAGGACTATGTCTTCTAGTTACACAGACTCTCTTAGAAGCTTATTTATAATTACAGACTGTAATTCAAGTTGAAATTCATACAGGACTTGTATACACTTCTTAGAATCTAAGAGAACCTTTCTACTATATACTATCTACAGACTAATAGTCAAACTGAGTAAGTCAATCAGGAGATTGAACTCTACCTCTGAATGTTTATTAATCATTAGTAGTCAGACTAGTCTGAATAGTTAGTACTGACAGAATTTGTGTATAATAACTGACAGTACTTAGCTACTAGACAATCTCTGTTCTTCTTCAACTATAAAAGACATTTGTATTAAGGAACTGTTCTAAGCTGGAACAGGAGTTCTGAATCCACAACAGACTTTACTGATCAGATACACAAGACTAGGGAGGACACACAAGCTCTTTTAGAGTAAGTAGTATAGGTTATGAAACAGAACTATGATTGAAAGAGATCTGTAGCCAAGGATTACTAGTCTAGTAACAAAGTAATACTAGAAGCTACTAATTTGACTACAGATTGTCTGATAAAGAAGTTGGACAATAAGTGCTTCAGACCCTTTGTTATTAAGAAGAAGGTTAGTATCTCTACTTACAAACTTTAACTCCTAGTAATCTGGAAGTACATACATTCAGTGTTTAATAAGGTTCTACTATCTTAGTATTGTGACCCAGACTACCCTTTACAGTAAAGACCCCTACTACCTTTACCAGAACTTGTTAGTTCCAAACTAGAATACAAGGTAGAATATGTAGTAAATGCTAAACTAGTGTGTAGAAGGCTTAAATTCCTTATTTACTAGAAGGAATATCTAGTTAAGGAGTATACTTAAGAACCTGCTAAAAATCTTACTTACACTACTAAGACAATTCAAGACTTTTATAGACTTCATCCTGGAGCCTTATGCTAGATCTGTCTTATAAACTTTTAGACCTTATTGTTCTGACTTATATCTGAACCACTTACTATACTAAGTGTCTGTTAATCAGGACAATTAATTTTAGAGGAAGGGTAATATTATAATCTAATACTTTACACTCTTAGAACTGTCAGTTCTGACAGAACTCAGAACTTCCATATCTTGAGTGTATAATACACTAATTATATACAGGTTGACTTACACAATTACTCTTATTTCTGTATTGTCTGACCTCTACTATCATTCTTTTGTTTACTCTATGTCTTACCCCTTCCTCTCTAGTCCTACATTCTTTGTCTACCTACTTTTGACCCTTTTTCCTTTATCTCTTGTAACTTATTATTCCCTGAGTACCTTTGTATAGTTTAGTATATATACTAGTACAAGATCAGACTAGTTCTGTAGTCTTAATCTTGTCTACTCCAGATAGTCCTGTACTCTTAAGCTTACTCTATATACCTTACTCTTGTCTCACTCTATTATTATGTCCAAACTCTAGAGTTCTACACATTCTGATACTTATGTTCTAGTACTTGTGTCTCTGTATCTCTGTATCTCTGTTATATAGGATTATTGTAGTCTGGGTCCCCTTACTGAGCCTTTAGGTCCCCTCTACACTGTTGCTAACAGAACAGTACTAGTAGAGTACTAAACACTGAGCTCTAAGACTGTAAGACACATAAAGACTGACAGGACAAAAGTATCTTTGTTATAGTCAGTAAATAAGAACTGAGAGTACATAATAAGACACACCTTTATTACAGTCAGTAAATAAGAACTAGCACAACAAAGGTGTAGACATGAGCTTTATATACTAAGGAAGAAAGGAAGGTGGCTCAGGCTAAAGGAAAGTGTGATACAAGTAAAAAAGGAAACTATATGTATAGTCTAGGATCAGAACTAAGAATGAGTGGCTTAAGACTGTGTAAGTGAGTTCTGGGACAGAACTCTCAGAACTCTTAGAACTGTAGTAAGCTGTACAGTAGACTTATACTAGACTACAATATTCTTATAAAAGCTATTTAAGTATAATTTATAACAGTTAGTAATTTTGATCAATTCCTTACATCTCTATTCCAAGCTTTTGTCTTTATTAAACAGTAGTATCAAAGCATAATTGTAAAATAGTAAAAGTGACTAATAAGGATAACAAGGGAAATGAGACTATACAACAGATAAGTAGTAGGTGTAGTGTCTAATTGTTGACAGTTACATATTACTAATCATAAGATGTATGTTAGTAGTGAAAAACAACTTAGGACTGTATCTCTCTCTAAGAAGTACTAGTCTAGTTATTCTAGAAAAAAAAAGAAACAAAAATGAAGATAAAGTCAAATTTCTTGTAAGCTTCTACAAAGCACTTTTCAGGTAGAGTGAAAGTGACAAGACAAAGAAATGCTTGAGAAAGTCTGCAAATAATTTTGGACCTATCTCAAATCCCTACTGTCTAACATCCAACATTTGAGGAGTTGATGGAGAAGGCAGAGATTAACAAAGTGGGTAAATAAAGAAATGAGCAGTGTAAAAGATTATAGCTTACAAGTCCAAGCTGTACATGCATGTCTTAGTAATGTGTTTCTTTTTAAATGTATGTATGATTGTAGCTCCATTGTGTCAAATAAATGTTAGTAAATTATTGAAATGCTGCCTAAGCAAGTGAATAGGTTGCTGAAATGGTGAAACATTCAAATAAACATGTTAAGCTGATAAATGATTATAATAATGAGCATTCTACTATTACTGACCATTGAGTTTTATCAATGTAACAGAAAGTGAGTGAATGGAATAGTAAACAAGAATTGCCTCTTATTACAGTAATGCCAATCTGGAATACTGAAAAATATTCTGACTGTAGCATGTTATATATGGTTGATTGTGAGAAGCCTGTTACAACAAACAGATAGGTCTGTAAATTAAAACATGATGCTGCTAGAGTCATGAATGCTTATATATAGGGATGAGTAAATTTCCATCAATTCCAAACCTTATAGTCATGCTAGAACTTTGTTAAGGTGTTCTGTTATTATAGACTAAACTGTGATGCAACTAGACTCCCAACTAAATAATTTGGAAAATATTCTAGTACTTTCTTTTACGAAAACGAAGAGCATTTCTTTGTTCAAATCAAATACTACTGAAAGTTCGCTATATAACTCGTGTGAATCCGATACGGACATAAGTATGCACTTTTACAACCCCATCATTGAAGTCGTCAACTTCTTTGTAGAGGGATCGAGAGTCCCTCCGTGTCAGAATTGCAAATGTTGAACTCCGAAGAATCGCTCATTCAGGCGCATCGCGCATATCTGACTGCGAGCGCATGCATTCGACACTGTATAGATGATTAGGCACCTCGCATGCGCTGCAACTACTGAAACGGTATGTTACACCGAGACGGTAAAACGTCCGACGCGGAGAAGTGTGGCTGAACAAAGTGTATCAACGCAAACGGTAAAATATAATGACAGACGCCAAGGTGTTTGACGAAATCCGTCGACGTGGGAATGGGATGGTCTCGTTCTGCGGCCGGTGAATTCAGCAGTCAATACCGCTGACGCTGGCGACCAACAAAGATACATATCCGTCGCATCAAAGAAGACACACACCATTAATCAAGAGAACAGGTCGGTCCGATGAGATAAATTTACTTTACTATCAAAGCATCAATATCGGGCGGCTCTCCGAAGGCATCCACTGAAATTTCTTGCTGTCTCATTCGCACAACGCTCTTCAGAATGGCGTGAGATTTTTAAATCAGAATCCGTCATATTCTTCGTCTTGAACGTGTCTTGTTAGGGGTCACTGGTGAGGTGGGTGTTGAACAAGCGCTAAGTAAGGTTTTGTCATAGTCCCGAGGAGGCGCGGGAGAATGCCGACTTGGGAGAGCACGTTGGTCGGGTACATAGGAGCCCATCTCAATTCTCTTGCGAGTTGTGAGTTGCGCGCGGCATGTAAGATGAAAGCCAAGATTGCCGGAATGCCGAGATGGAGATCGGGTGTAATTAGTCCATATGTAGATCATTTCCGCGCAACAGCTCACAAAAACTCGCAAGCACTCCAGAGTGCTTGTGAGTCAGCGGAGTTTGAAAAAAGTTGTACTTCTTGAAGGATTTACGCTGTGTGATCGACGAAAAAGAAGAATACGGTCTCGTGACCGTGCAGAAAGATGCGCGTCTATGCTTAGAGACAAGGAACAATTAGGATGGCTATTAGGTAGAAGTTCGAGAGCAGCACAGAGCAGCTCAATAAATGGCTTCATCAAGGTCTTCTGGACACTTACACGCTCAAGATTTTTGTGTAGATAGGGCCCTGTGAGAACTTGATCATGGTAGCTGGTGCAAATCACATACCAGCCTGTTTTCTCTTTTTCTTCGGTTTCTTCTCTCCTTTCTCCTCTTTTTTCACCTCCTCTTTGTTCCCCTCAATATCGGAACCAGTACATTCGTTTATATCAACTGTGATCAAGTCATCATCATCTGGATCCACATTGCCATCTCCTCTGCCAGTGTGATTAAGAAACCCTGAAAAAAAGGTGAGCAGAGTATATGCTCACAGAAATATAGATACATACGCCTTGTCTCCTTGTACAACCGAAATATAATGTTCCATTTGGTCGTACACTGTGCTAGAGTGTACTGATTGTCGAATACAACTTGAGAAGCCTTGAGAAAAATTGCAAAGGTGAGGAGCAAATATTGTGAGCAAGACCTGAAGAAATACATACCTTCAGCATAATTTTACTCAAACTGTTTGAGACCTTATTCCAATTCTCTGGTGAGCAGACAAACTCAACAAGCTTGAGAGTGGTTCCCTTGTCCCATTTTGCTTTTGTTGCCCCTGAAACAACAAGTTTGCCCTCATTTTTGACCTTCTCATCAACATCAGTGTCTGATATACCAGAAGTGCATGCATTCCTTCCAGACCTAGAACCCTTTCCTGTCTTCTTCGTCTGTGCCTTAGGATTTACCTTCAGTGCTTCTTCTGCCTTGGGGGAAACAACTTGAGGAAGTACTTGAGCTTGCTGATGCATGGATTGTATCAGATATGGGTGTGCTGGAGCCATTGCCATTGAATGAAGTGCTTGAGCTGTGTCTGGCCAGTCAGGCTCAGGTGTCTGTGAATGCAAGATTGGGCTCAGGGTGACAGGCCCATAAAACCCAGCCAAAAACTGAGTCTGGGTGAAAGATGGTTGTGTATATGTATGTGCATAAGATGAGTTAAATGGGATTACAGGAGTTTGAGGCTGAGAAGAGGCCCTAAATGGGTCTTGAGACTGCTCAGGATTCATAGGGAATTGTCTGAATGAAAAAATGACTGTTTTTTGCTGTATTCTTTGCAATGTCTTACTCTTGTTCCTAGTGCTCCTCTCATTTTTTACTGTTTATGGTAGGCTTACAAATTTTTATTATTTAACATTAATTTAACTACATTTAATGATCAACAAGCTATGCACAAGTTGATCACATCAATTCTTTGCAGTTGTGAGGGTGCTCGGCATCACTTCTTTCAGGGGTTTCTGCAAGCCGAGCTTCCTCGCAACTCACAACGCGCAACAGAATTGAGATGGGCTAGGGGCAGAAAACCCTGGATGGAAGCGTGTTATACCGGAAGCGGTCAGAGGGAAAGCTTGGGTTAGAGACACATGCCTGATGCCGCTAATCAAGGGATCTTCATGTGCTCACGACCTCCCCAATTGATATCCAGTGCTAACCAGATCAATTTCGCGTAGAGAATAGAAGGGTCCGCCGAGAAAAGCGTCTCCGAATTGAATGCTGATGTTGTATTCAATTGAATATGAAGGTCCCGTTGTCCGGAATGAATTCTAGATTTAAGATTACAGATAACGCAATGCACCACTCGTGACTTTCTCCACGTGATGTACGAATTCTCGTCCCTGTTCGCTCCCCGTCGGTCCAAGAGAGAGCAAAGTGCAGGCGCTGAAGTCGTCATAGTCTCGACTTCGATGACGTTATGAATGCAAGCGAGACAAAGCGATACAGTGCTCTCTCGCGGTACATTCGGTATTTTTTCCCGAATTTCAGAGCAATTTTCTCGGTAAGTAACGTGACGCCAAATGCTGAATCAAAATTCAGGGACAAACTGCCGAACGAAGCCAGCACATGGAAGTAGCTTTAGCATGCGCTGATCGGATTAGCCTTCTCCTCTTGGGCCCCCTCATCCGACCCTTGGTCGATGTTCTCGCTGTTTAAACTTGTGAACAGCGTCAAAATGGACGCTCTGAACCAGCTTGGGAAGTACGAAGCAGCTGCAAAGTTACGTTACGGATAACATTGATTGCTGACATGTTATCATCCTCGAGTTTCTGTAGAGTTATCTCCGATTCGATCATTATTCCACACCGAATCCTGTTGGTATTGGAAATCCCTTGATGGCCGATACCCGACGGCCCTACCCTAACGGAGCAACTGCCTATACCCACGGAATGCGTCCAGATGATCATCATAAACTTACGGCCTATATACATATCCCGGCACATCCAATCTCTCCCAGGTCGTCGACGGTGGAAGTGTCCCTGCTCCACCTGCCGTTCTTACACCTCAGCCCTTTTTGCTCACCCTGCTCGACGAACCCCTCCTCAGACAAAGGGACAGAGGGATGATCGTCGCAAGCCCCCGCCCCGTCGCCGCCGTGCCCGAGCTCGCACCGCTCTTGCGGCTGCGTGCGGACGAGCTCCAGCTCCAGATATCCCAGATGCAAATGGGGATGGGAGCGACATTGGGAATTCCGACACTGGCTCAGTCGGACGAATGCCATAACAAGCCTCGATCACCATCATCAGCCAGTGGCGACCAACCGCCCAAGTATACCAGACACTCGATCTCGTATACCTTTACGCACACAACCCAACCCTCCACTTCCTCAACGTCATCTTCCATGTCCGGCTCTGCATCCACTTCGACTTACCGTCCTTCTTTTGATTCTTTCGACGCGCACTCAGAACATGCGCCGACGCAAGACCAGCAGCATAAGGAACAGGCGGAAGGCAGAAGTGCTCCGCTCCAGGTGTGTATTCGTCTCTTCCACGCCAATCCCCTATCCCTGCAACTTCGGCCTCGAGGCTGTCTCCGCGTCTGAATTCGATTTCTCTCGCTATTCCGACCCTTTGCTGACGGCCTCGTGTATAGTCCCTTCATCCCGAGGAGCAGGAAAGTGCCCCGCCATACGACTCGTCCTTCGCAGACACGAATTTGTCTGGTCTCCCATTAGAGGCATTATCCGCACTCTCATTATCACGAGAGAACCTTGACGACCTTCGACGCGCGAACTTTGATGAGCTAGATGAGCTTGATCGGTCGGATGACCGACTGGATCCAGATGCCATTATCAGGAAGCGGATCACGCACAACTTCCTCCTGGCTCGTCAGAGTGCAATCACGTTCGCAAGTTCCGTATACAGTGACAGAAACCAGCAACGAGAAAGCCTGTATTCGACCTATGACTATGACCCAACCCGCGCAAGTGTGCAAACGTACGGCTCTAGTGTACTCACGTATGGTTCGCGTGCTTCTCAATTGATTGATGGTGAGGACATTGGAATGAATGGAGGAGATGGTTCGCGCCCCGTTGCCCCGCTTCCTTGGCTTCCTAGACCAAGTGCGCTCGATCGGATACAACACAGTTCGCCACACCTCAATATCGTTGGTGGGCGCGCGAGAAGTGGGAGCGTGGGTTCTACTTCGGGGACCGGCCGCCGACCTCTACCGCCACTGCCGACACCGATCTCTGCCACCATGTCCACAGGGCTTTCCCCTTACCCACCATTACCTCCAATGCGTGATCGGAGTGTCAGCCTTCCTTCTCGGTCAAACTCTTCCGGTTCTAGCTATTCCGTTTCATCTGCTTCCAGTGCTGGGCGTCGTCCTCGGCCGCTTCCACGAACACCGACCTCTGCTGTTTCCAACAACTTACCGGATATTCTTGAAGGAGAGTCAACGGAAGGAGTACCGCCGAGTTCAGGCCCGATGAGGTCGAATAGCATGTTCTTGTCACCCACGTCCTCCACAGCTCCGTTGAATTTATCCGGGAGAGGACGACGCAGCGCTACTTTTCGGTATAGTACTATCGGTTATGGTCAGGTTTCACGTGCGGCGGCAGCACTCCTCCGAGCAAATGAGAGTGACCAAAATGGCGGGCAAGGAGGGAGAACGGGCAATGGGAACGCTTCTTTGAATGGCTTAAAGTCGTACGGGAGGACTGTATCGCGGGCCTCGACGAGGAGTGCTCGTTCCACATACCTTGTCCCAGATGTCGACGAGCTCGTGCGCATCCTTGATTCGATGGATGATGGGTCTGGGTCGGGCTCGAGTAATGAAAACGTGCCAGTTACTCCGCTGGCAGGGCCGTGGGAGCCCAAATACGCGACCCGTAAGACGGATGAGGGCGAAGAGGAGATCGACATCGGTGCCGTACTATCCCGTAGCAGGAGTGTGGTCAGTGTCCCTTCCAGTGAGAAACGTGGAGCAGCCTCTACGCTTGAGGATCTCCGCGTTGCGCAGAGTATTGGGCTACCTACACCCGCTGCGACACCGAAGAGTTCTCCACATCGTCACCCGACGAAACTTCCGTCGTCAAACTCAAGTACGAGCTCGAAGACGCCTACGAAAGCGAGTACCACTGCAAGTTCGAAGCCTGCTTTGCAGGTGAAGCCGGTGGATAAGGAACAGCAGTCGCCTGTCCCGACGAGCGCCGATGCACTGTCCTTGACGAGCTTTCCTCTTCCACCTTTGGCACCGTTGTACATACCCGCACCCAGTGCGGTAGGCGTTGGAGATATGCCAATCCCCAGTGCATCGAGTGGGATTGTGCCGAGTCCGAGTATGGCAGACTTTGGAAAGAGCCCCGCGGAGCGTGCCACGCTTCCCGGAATGGTGAAAGAGGAGAAGACGCCAACTCCTCAGGTATGTTATCGTCAAACGGCATCTACGAAGATATACTCAGTTATTTTCTATTTCAGCCTACTACTCCACCGAGACACATCAGTGCAAGAGAAGCGATTGTAGATCTCAAGAATCGCGTCTCAGAACTACCTGTGTTTAATCTCACCGGAAAGAGCGCACTCAAGAAGTTCCCTGGAGGTGTTCCGCTTCTCGGCCTACCCAAACCGCCGCGCCGCCGTGCTCAATCGGTAAGCACTGGTGCCATTTCCAAGGACGCGCCAAACGCGAAGAAAAAGCAGCTCCAGCCTCCGACCATCGACGTTTCCGCAGCCAACGCACTACCTCCCCCGAGCTCATTTAGTGTTGGAAAGACCGCGGACGCACAATCTGCTCCTGCTCATAGCCTCTTTTTCAATCAAGATAAGCCGACGGTTCTCTATACAACCCCGGCTCCAGCTCCGGCACCGAGCGTCGCCCCGCTTCGAATCCGCAGAACCTCAAGCGCCGGTCAGACTCAGACGAGCACTCGGGCAGAGGCTATCAAGATTCAAATACCGCCTGCCGTTGACGTGCCGCAAAGTGCAAGTGCTTTACAGACGACTTTCGGAGCGACCAGTGACCTATTGGTATCTGGTCGTGCTCAGCGTGCAACGTCATTCTGCGTCTCTCCGGGCACACCTACGCCGGCTGTTGCACCGCTGAAACTGAAGATTAGCAAGGCTTGCGCGAAGAGAGCTCGTAGTTCAACCGTTGGGCCAGTCCTCCAGACAGTCTCGAAGCAAGATGAGCGAATTAAATCGGACCTGGTAGCGATCCCTTCTGTGCCACCAACTCCGCCTCCTAAAATTTGCAATATCTCGGAGACGGACGCTTCCGAGGAATCGGAGAGCGACCAGCTGCCGACGCCTACAGCAGCCAACCCTCTAGTTTCTAATGGTGCTGAACCTCTTGGGCAATTAGGGAATACGAAGAACTTGTCTGTCCTAAGTTGTGGGTCTTCGCTGTCTGCTCTGCAGCAAGCTACGGGTCACGCCTCGTTAGATCCAGCCTTCGCGGATATTATCAAGAGTATTGCGGGCGCGAGCGAGGAGGAACAGATGGGTAGCTTGTTGACAATCGCGAGCAGTATCAACACAGAGCATCACGCTTCCGGTTATAATGCTGGATTCTTCGCCCCATTCGCCGATGCGAGTCGTGAGGACGATGAAGAGTTCGTCGACATTGAGGAGGAAGGCGAAGCGACTTCGAAGAGAAAGGAGACTGTCCGGAAGAGTATGGCATCGGGCATCAGTACTAGTGACCGTAGAAGGAGCAAGGGCCGAAGCCTCAGCTCACTGAAGAAACGGCATTCGACTCGCTCTGCTGCTGCCGTACGGGCGGCCATTCGCGCTCTCCCTGACCCGAACACGTTCCCAATTCCCACTTCAGCAGGTAGTGTCGCAACAAACAGCAGCGCTCTCGATGGTGGTTCGGATTACACCGGTTTTGGGATACGTCCATCGCCACTTCCCAAACTGAAAGTTGTGACGAAGTTCAAGGGTGGAACTGTGCTTCTTCCAGCATCGACCGCGCCGCTCTCAGCGACGTCGACGAAGTCCTCCATGTCAACTTTCAGTGGGCACTCGCGCAATGCGAGCGGCGTGAGCATTGTCACCAAACGCGTGTCGACAGCTACCGGATCAAGGAAGATGAATCGTCTCACGTTGACGGATCCACGAAGCCCGATGACGGATGCAGCTGTTGCTGCTGCCACGCTCGTCGCTCGCGTACGCCAGAAGCGTGCTGCACTTGCTGCGCGCAATCGCTCAACTGGAATCAATGCTGTTCATGTACACAATCAAGGACAGGTTATCCACATTCAGCGAGGACACGCACGCACAGGATCTGGTTCAAGTGGTAATGCTTTACGGTCAAAACTCAAGATGTCTGGTAGTGGCTTCTTCGGCGGGTGAGTTGGGATAATTATTAATCTTACACTGACATTTGGAACTTATTTGTCTCTTGCGATAATTTGATATTAGCTTGACTGCACGCGCTCTCCGTACTCCGGGCCCTGCCGCCAATACTGATGCCGACGCCGTACTGCGCAGTGGCCCGCGGGAACATCGACCAATCATTTGTCGTGTCTGCAAAACGCGAACAAGCGTTGCGTCGTCGCACAAAGGCGAACTGGATTTATGTGCTTGATTTTCAAATCACCAGACTATCTCTTCCACTTGATCCACGATTACATGATAACCACTTCACATCGCCTTCTATCTAATGTATCGTCGGTCTCAATACCGGATTACTATCGCTACCTCCATTCCTTAGGGCGCCTCTTTCGCGGAAAGGATATATACGCGCGGATGGGGTTCATGGGGCTTTGGCCCTTCTACGATTTCCTCGTGTATCATCAGTGTAGAGTATCTATTCGTAAATTATCTAGGCTCAGTTTTTCATCATGTTTGTATATCCCGCTTCGACGTATATGCTCTCCCTCTCTGCTAGTCTTGTTTTCCACCTACCTTGCACTTCTTTTGACACTGGTTACGCACTGCATGTTGTCTTTTTATTTCGCCTTTGATTTCCACTGTTGTCATATTACAAATCTTCGTCAATCTTTTTGATTTAGCCTCTCCTTTGACACTGTACTTTGGACTTATGTTCTGCATAGCATCTACACTCCTTTACCCCTTTGTTCTTCCCTTCCTCATTTTCCTGTTTCATACTTTAAGGACCTTTGTGTCAGTTTGTGGTTAATGGTCTCGATGTGTTTTTTAAATATATGCGCGCCATTCACCAACTGCAAGGAGATCGAGAAGTTACACAAATACTGAAGAAGAGGATATTTCATAGTATGTGCATTGTGGGTCCGTGATTAGGTAATAAGAACATTTTGGAAATGCACATTACTTCATCGCCTCTTCGAGAAGACGACTTAGATTCAGAATGTATGTCATGCTAGCATTGTCCATATATTATATCCGGTCGAGCCCATCTAAACACTTATGAATGTTGTCATATATATACTTTTTATTCTTTAATGCTTACAATTGAAATTAATTTATTCTGTAACAGCCCTCTATGATTGACTCTGGAGTACACAACTATGATCATACACACCCTTGAACTATCTAGAACAGTGTCTGAAATTATGGAAATTACTCACTTATTTTATAAATGTATACAATAAACTTGTAAAGTTCTGTTCTTGCACTCTTGTGAGGTCCTTTTTTTGGTTCAATACACTAAACTGAACAAACTAACCATAAATTTGTAACTTTGACTGATTATTATTGACTGTATCACTGCATTTATTGATTCTATTCATTCTCTTCCATCACATTTTCTCTAACCTAATGAATTTTGTTCACAAATTGACTATACAGACTTTGTACAGTTACAGTAAGTATTTTATTGTATATTTCTGAGAATTAATAGTCTGACTCCTAGTCTTGTTCCTTTTCCCCTGTCAACTTCTGAACCTCTTTCTAATTCAGTACTCTCTGAAAGTCATCCATGAGCTTCCTACAGACTGCTATCTGATTGAAGATTTTAAACTAATTTACATTAATAGGAACCTTCTTAATTATTGTCTTAAATATTATATATATTATTTGGTTAGTTCTTTTTCCAGTATTACTCAAGTCTTCTGATTGCTTCATTTCTATATAACAAAGCTGTTATAGTCTTACAGACTTTCACAACAAACAATTTACTATTCCTAACAGTTATAATATATATTAGAATAGTATCAGTATTATAAAGGAAATGTAGAGTAGTAATAATATACTTGCTTAAAGACCTGTACTTTGTAAGATTTTTTTTTTCTTTAATAGTTACTCTTCTGAACATTTTTAATATAATAAATCCTTGCTAATATAGTCAAGTTAAGCTATAGAATAGTACTCTCTCTATATTTATTATACAGAACTGAAACATAATTCTAAGTAATATTGAATAAATATTAGTATAAGTAACATAATATAAATTTTGTCATTCTTTAAAACTGAATCTTGACAAGTTTTATAGTTTTGTAAGAATATATATACATACTATTTATTCAAGAATCTTATATAGTTAATATTATATTCCTTGTGTATGAGTTTTTTTAGACCTAAAACTGAGTGTACAATACTCTAAGTTGGTTCAAATGAATGATATTATATAGTTACTAATTTACATGTTGAAATATACTTAGAATATTGAGTATACATATTATTTTACTATATATTTGAGTTTGCTAAAATTGAGCATTTTCCCATAGTCTCTCTACACTTAATAAAGGTTCTTTTGAGTACTGTTCATGATTGTAAATTCATTATAAATAAATAAGACTACATTCAAATAGTTTTAATAGTTTTATTATAAGTTTATAAGTTAGAGAAGTACTATTAGAGTAATATGTATAATAAAGACTTATTACTTGATGTGGACTAGAAATCCATAAGCAACTTTAATTAATTAGTAAAGGGACTTGTAGAAAGGCTTTAGCAATTTAGAGTAAAATGCTAAGAGTTGTATAAGTCTCTCAAAATTAAAGAGCTAGACTTGTAAAGATTGACATTTAATATTTGTGTTATATTACTTATAATTTTTGTTAAGTTGTAGTCAGACATTTCTTTATTTCAAACTCTAACATGTTTGTAAGTACTAACAAGTAGGTTTAAGCACTTGTAGACACATAGACACTTGTAGAGAGTTGTACATATTTATATCTTTATTTAGTATATATTAAAGTATATTTACTTTACTAAGCTATCTCAAAAATTTTCTACTGTCCTGTAAGTACTTCTACTAATTAATTAAAGTTACTTACTATAAGAAAGTTATTTGTAAGTGTAGTATTTGTAGGAATTTGTCAACCATAGTATAATACTATAGAAAGCCTTACTATATATACTATAATCCCTCTTTTCTAACAATCCCTCTTTTCCAATTTTATATTCACACACAAACTACTTTACTTTAAGTTACTAAAAAATTCATGGAGAAATTAAAAATCTATAAATACTATTATTTTCAGTAGTCATTCACATTATAATTAGCCTTCTTAATTTTTCCAATGAATATTTTAGCATGATGATATTACAAAACAAATCATACATACATACATACTTATATTTAAAATCCTGAGAGTTTAACTGTTTTCCATGAATTATAATTGAGTAAAGACTGTTTGAGAGTAACAAAAGGTGACAATTATGCTAAGGTAATGTAACATTTAGTACAAGCAGAGAGCTTTACTGAGCTTGGATCTATGTAACATAGTGTGACAAAATTGGAAAAGAGGGATTGTATCCTTTTACAGTTTAGAAAAAATCATAAAAATTATTTTGAAAAGAGATTTTGATTTATTATGCTCTAATCTTTGTACATGAAAAATTTAAAGCCAAAATGTCTACAATGTGACCTGTATAACTGTGACATAGAACAGAAGTTGTCAATTATTATAAGACCTTTGATTAGTTTCTACATCCAATTCTACCTCTTTCCCTTACTAAACAATACAGTCAAATTATTCAACTTTTACACTAGTTTGTCCCTTAGTCTTTATAATTATCCTATATTAAACCATCTTGTTTCCTCTCACTTTGTTCAGTGTTAGAGTTTTCTGCTAAAGTTATTAAGGAGTACATTTACTTTGCTCAGACTTACTAGAAGACTCAGAGCTCTACTAATAATGACAACACTGTCTCTCTAACTATTACTGTGTCAGCCTTCTTCTCTCTAGGCTTTAGTAGTAATACTGTGTCTAGCACTACTTCCTATTTGCCTGATTTACATACTGTCTCTAAGGTAGAGGCTCTGTCATACTATATAGGCCTCCCTTCTGAGCCTATACTTATTTACTATACAGGTAAGGAGTAGTAGTCTCTACCTAGAGAACCTGAAGCCTAATACTGTTTGAAGGAGCTGTAAGAAGTTTTTGACCATCTGATTATAAAGGTCTAGTACTATGACTTAGTCTAAAAGGTTGTTTCTGTTATAGACAATTATAAGGTTAGTAAATATTTATTATATTGTAGAATTTACTAATTAGGATTTCTAGATTCTCTTTATAATAATAGACATTGTTTGTTTCAAGAATGTTAAGGTTAACAAAGTGTCTAAGGACAAAGAAGAGAGTAAGGATGAAGAAACAGTTAAGACTAAAAAACTAGTCCTTAGTCTTATTACAATCTGGATTAGTGTCTTTCCTAAGTCTACTACTATTACAGCTACTTACTATACAGTTTAGAGTATCTTAATCCTTCTCTAGAAGTATTAGATTACTAACATCAGGAAAAAGTCGCATTTCTTATAATGTATTGCAGACTTTGTAAAGTATAATGTAAGTATTGTATATATATTGTAATAAAATTATAAAGATCTTACAGTTATTTGCAAAGTATATACAATACTTATATTACTTTTACAAAGTCTACAATGTATTATAATGAATCTGACTTTTTCCTAATAAATATTAATGTTGACTTCTGTAAGTCTATCTACATATATAATATTAGTTCTTAGCTTTTCAAACCTGTTAAGGACCTAAACCTAATTGTCAACATTATTAGTCCTCTCACCCCTGCTCTTAGTCTCTACATCTCCACTAGGGTCAGGCCTAACACTCAGGAAACTATAGCTCTCTACCTTACTAAAGGTAGTAGTAATAATAGGCTTTTAGACCTTTTATATTGTCATATTCTTATTAAATCCTAGGAAAGCAACCTTAACTACTCTTACCACTCTAGTGTGCCTACTAGAGATGTCCTCCTACTCAGTAAGAGTGCCTATACTAACATTGTCAATTTGATCAAACTCACAATCACAGACTATAGAAACTCAATCAAGTATTAGAGGAAGTAGATTGAATCATTTAAGGAAAGGGAGAAGGGTAAAGATACTACTAATGTTACAAAGACTAAGGTATATTAGATTAAGACTGAGGGGTTAGTAGACAAGGTGGTGAAGACAATAAAGGAACTTAGAGAGTTGTTTGATCAGGTCAATAAGGAGTGGAAGAAACTTAACAACTATGTTATTAGCTACATCCTCTACTCCTCTCCTATCTGTCTTAGTATTAGTGAGCAACATTTTACAAAGGATTAGAGAGTATTTGTGGTTGACCAGACTAAGTTTAGTAATAGTTTCTAGAGTAATAAAATGGATCTTAGTGTGTTTTGACTGTCTGACTAAGACTGTCTACTAATCTAAATGTTGTTTATATATAGGAATAAAGATGTTGTCTACTAAGTTTAAGAGAAAGTGTTTCCCCTACAGAGATACTTACTAGGAGTTTGAATATTCCAAAGATTGTCTACTTCTACTTAAGAGAGTCATTACTAACAACTTGATACATACTCCTAACATGTAGGACTCAAACAGTAAAGCATACTTGTTAGTTACTAAGAGGGGTAATACTACTAGCACTACTCTTAACTGTACAAATAGTATCTTCTCTATTGTTTGTAACTACTTTAGTAACATGTTTATCAACCAAACCTTGTTAGAGTAGTGTATAATCAACTATAGTAACAAGTTAGACATCTTTTTAAAACCTAGCAATTCAGACTCAATCATTACTAATATCTCTGACTGTATTAGTAACATACTTACTAGCAGTTCTGGTAAGACTAAGACTCTTGACACAATCTATACTATACTATTCTAGTAGCTTCTTAAACATATCTAGGACAGTAAGTTCTCTAATAC